CAGACAGAGGGTTCCAGGGGCTCTGAGACACCGGCTGGAAGATTCTGGGAGGCAGGTTTCCTGCAGCCTCATAGAGACTTTTCTCCAGGCCTCTAGATGCAGGCTCTGCATTGGTGTGTGTGGTGTGTGAGTGGGTGCTGTGGTGTGTGTCTGTGTGTCTGTGATAATGAGCGTGTGAGGTGTGTGAGTGCATATCTATGTGAGTAAACGTGTGTGTGTGTGAGTGTGTGTCATTGTGAGTGTGTGTCATTGTGTGTGTCTGTGTGTGAGTTTGATCGTGTCTGTCTGTGAGTGTGATAGTAAGATGGATGCCTGTGTGACTGGGTGTCGTGTGAGTGTGTAATTGTATGTATGTCTCTGTGTGTGCTTGTGTGTGTGAAGGTGTGTGTGAGTGTGACTGTGTGATCTTTGTGCTGGTGATGATTAGGCCACTTCAGGGGTCCCAGTCTTTTCAGAGATTCCCTGTGTAAAGATCTGGAGCCCACAGGGTCTAAAACCAGACTCTGTGTTTCTGGGATGCCTACGTTCCAGGGTTCTGGAATTCTGTGGCTGACGGCGCTCACAAGCGTGAGGGACCATCACGGGCTCATTGTATGCTGGCCTAGTGGCTGGTGGCGTGGTCAGGTGCTGATGTGTTGCCCCAGTTCATCCTCCCAGCGAGCCTGCCACGGGACAGCCGCCACCCTCATTTTATAGACAGGGTATCTGAGGTCCCTGCCAGGCTGAGCCATGCGCCAAGGTGGGCTGGTGTCAGAGCCGGGACTCTGACACAGGTCTCGGCTTCCAGTGCCTGTGCTCTGAAACATACACTATAGAGTGTCAGGTGACCGTAATTAATATCTTGGGCCGCTAAGGTCCTGGGTGATTCTAAGATATTCTGATTCTGAGATTCCTGGATTCTAGAATTCCCGGATTGAATGTGTAGCTTGTTCTTCGAGCTGTGACATTAGCTGATGTGTGGTTGTTGACAAAGGGATAAACAAGTTGCTTATTGCCTGTGTGCACCTGTGAACACACACACACGCACACACACGCACACGGCCTGGGGTGACCAGGCCAGGCCTCAGCAGACACAAGCCTTCCCCATACCATGCTCTAAAGGCTCTGGAAAGCTCTGGGAGGCAGATTTCCCCATAGACTTGGGAAGACTTGGAGGGGCTTTGCCCACACTGGGGGTCTTGGCTGGACCAGCAGCTATATCTGCACTGCCTGGTGACTTAAGTGGGAGGGAAGGACTGGTTTCAGGGCACCTTTCCTTGTCTCACAGTGGTGCCTGTGATGGTTCAGCGCTTGGGCTCAGGGGCTGCAGACCTGGACTGGGACCCTGACCCTGCCCTATACTAGTTGCATGGTCTCGGGCACTGCCGGACTTCCCTGGTCCCCAGTCTCCTCCATGAAGTAGGAATAAGCATGGTCTGTACGTCATGGGACTGTGTTGGGAATCGACTTAAACAATGCATAGAAAGCCCTCTGCCCATTGCCTGGTACAGGGTCAGACTCAGTCAGAGCCTCTGTGATGCTGTGATGACGGTGGCGGTGGTGGTGATGGTGGAGATGATGGTGACGGTGGTGATGGCGGTTCTGGTGGTGGTGACAGTGGTGATGGCAAAGAGAGGGCTGGGTGGCAGCCCCTGGGGATGGCACAGCTGGCCCCATGCACGCTTGGACAGCCACCTTCGTGGGTCCTAGAGAGCCTTTCCATCGAGGTTACGTCACCTCTTCACAGGGGCCTGCAGAGGGAGGCAGGAGAGGAAGGCTGAGGCTCCAGGAGGCCAGTGGGGTCAGGAGTGGGGGCGGGTGTTATAGACACAGTGGGGTCCTGTCCCTGCTCGTGGAGGCCAGTCGAGTTACGACACCACTGCCTGCGGGGACCCCTGGGACCATCTAGAGGGAGGAGGCTCTGGCTGTGGAAGCAGCTGAGACTCTGGGCCCAGATGGGCCTGAGTTGGAATCCACCAATGCTGCCACCTAAGGCACGTCCTCTGCTCTCTCTGAGTCTCCATCTGCAGACAGGTTGGAGCCCAGGGGGCCCCAGCTGCCAAAGGCCCAAGAGCCTTCCGCTGTAGGCACATGGGCACTGGGGCCAGGAGCTGGGCTGCAGGCGTGGAGCAGAGGGAACTGGGACTGGGGAGCAGGCCCGAAGGCTGTCGCCTGGGCTGCTGCGAGGGAGCAGGTCAGCGGTAGAGGCTGGCTGGGCCCTGGGGAGTGGGTTGGAGGCTCCCCGCAGCGTGTGGGGAGAGGTGTGAGGGCAAAGGACAACACAGTGTGACAGCTTTAAACGGGGCCGAGCGAGGCAAAGAGCAAGATGGTACAACGTGGATGGAGCTTAGAGGGAGGAGAGGAAGCGGCTCTGTGTGGTCCCAGAGGCCACGGCAGCTCTTTCCACCTCTGTGGTTGCAGGAAGGACTTCGGCAGAGCTAGGTGCGGTGGCACGGGGGCCCAGGCGAGGCCAGGCTCTTCTGCCTGTAAAACATACCTCAAATCCACCGCCTTCCTTTCACCTCCACCAGCATCCCAGGCCAGCCCAGCCCATCTCTCCGGTCTCCTTCCGACCGTCCTTGCTCCAGCCCTGCCCCTCCACCCTGTCTCCCTTCAGCCCACAGAGGGACGGCTTAAAAACAGAGACCAGAGCAAAGCACTCCCTGAGTAAAAACCCTTCTGTGGCTTCCTGTTGCGCTTGGACTAAAACCCGAGCTCCTTCCGTGGGCTCACAGTGGGCCCCGCCGAACTCTTCAGTTTCATCCCCCCGCTTGCCCCTTGCTCAGCCACACTGGTCTCGTTTCCGTTCCTTAAATGCACTGAACGTTCCAGCCTCCCAGCCGTTCCTGGTACCTGGAGGGCTCTTGCCCGAGACCACCCATGGCTGGTGACTGCTGATTCTTGTTTTTATCTTACAAGCTCTTTCTTTAGAGAGGGCGAGGTGGGTTCTCCCCACTCCCATCTTTCTTCCTTGTTTATTTACTTCCCAGTACTTTTTATTAATTCACCAAATATTTATTGAGCACCTAGTACGTTCCAGGCACTGTTTCAGGCTCTGGGGGATACAGCAGTGAATGAAACAGACCACAGTCCCTGCTCTCTTACAGCCTCCTTTCAGGTCGGGAGACAGACACTGAATCATAAATACATAAATTATACGGCATGTTTGGTGGTGGTAAGAGCTATGGAAACCCAGAGAGAAAAATGAATTGACCCGTGTGCCTCTTTCCCTTGCTGGAGTGAAGGCTGAATGAGGGCTGGCGCCCAGTCTGGCTTCTTCACCAGCCTAACCCCAGAGCCCTCACAGTGCCTGCACACAGTAGGTGCTCAGCAAATAATTGTTGGACAAATGAATGAATCGTCAGGGCCTGGGAGAACGGTGGATGGGAGATGGGGAGAGGGTGCTCCCGGCAGAGGGAGCTGTGCGAGCAGAGACCTAGGGGAGGCAGCCGCTGCCCTGGGACCTGACGAGGTGGAGCTTGGCGGGAGCGAGGGCCGGTGCGGGGAGCGGTGGACTTGGGCTGGCACAGCGGTGAGCAGACCTGCAGCCATTCCGGGGAGGATGTTTTCCCTCCTAGTGGTTGACACGTGGAGGGCCGGGGTGCCTGGGAGCTTATGTAAGGCCCTTGGCTGTTTCTCTAGAACCAAGAGCAAAGCCCTGAGCTCAGGAGAAAACTCTGCCTGTCTGACCAGCCGGGCGAAGTGGCAGGAGGCACCAACTCCCGCCTGTTGCCCCCAGGAGCCAGAGAAATGTCCAAATGTATCAGCTCTGGGCGGCTCAGCTGACTGCCCAGCGGCTGCGGGCAGCAGCCGGGTGGGTGCCAGGGATCTCTTACTCTTAGTGCCCAGCCTGGCACTGCCAGGGTGCCAGGGCCCAGGAGACCCCAGTGGGTGAGGATTCAGGGATTGGTAACCTCTTGGGTGAGGTGCGGAGGGGCGGGCCCTGCCGTTGGCTGGCTGAGGAGGGGGCTAAGCAAGGCCACAGTCGGTCATCACTGAATCTGGTGAGCTGGTGCTGGGCTCCGGCCCCTAGACAAGCCGTAGTTCAGTGTGTAGCCTTGGCATGCCCCTCCCTTCTCAGTTTCTCCATCTGCTAAATGAGCCTAATAAGGCTTCTGGGGTTGTAGTGAGCATTAGACGAGGCCAGGATGTCAGAGTACCTCTGTGTTCAAGTCACGACCAGCCATGTGATTTGCAGGGCCCGGCGCAAAATGAGAATGTGGGACCCTCGGTCAAAAAGTATTAAGGATTTCAAGCTGGTGACAGCCGGGCTTTAAACCAAGCACAGGGCCCTTCTGAGTGCTGCCTGGGTGGGTGCCCAGGTGACACACCCAGGCATCCAGCCCTGGTGGAGCTCTGTCTCTGCTGTCACCTGGCTGCGTGTCCATCCTCTCCCTTCTCTGAGCCTCAGCTTCTCCATCTGTAAAGCAGAGGTTGGCGTGTGAGGGCTCTGGGTTCTCAGCTTTGCGGGGCAGTGGGTGGGGGCGCCTCTGGGCTCAGCTGTAAGTCTCGTCTCAGATGTCACTTCCTCGGGGAAGTCTGCCCTGATTCCATCCTGGCTTGCCCAGGTACGCTGGTATCTGGTCCCACGGCACCTCAACCTCTGCTTTGTAACACACATCATCCTGGCAGTAATGTCTGCCTTTACGGTCACTTTCACCTTTTTCCTGCAAGTTTTCTTTACTTTGATGATGCAATAAATACACAACTCTAGTCTCATTGAAAAAAACCAACCAACCAACCAACAGCTCCCAACAATATCACAAGTATACTCTAAGAATGTTTTGTTCTCCCCACTTTTCATCTCCCCAAACTGAGGCTCAGCAAGGTTGACAGACCTGCCCCAGGACCACCAGCTCTTTCCTATCCTCACGGCCAGAGTGAGGCCGAGGGGCCTGAGGCGGGGCTGTCTGAGCCGTGTCCCCCTGTAGGGGGAGGCGGGTCGCGGAATGGGTGCCGAGCTTGTCCCCCGCCAAGCGCCGTCTCTTTTTCTTCCGCAGGGCTCCCTGCTCAGTGCCGACATGGCCGAGAGCTCCCCACTGCCCTCCTCCCCTGCCGCAGCCCCGGCGGCTGAGCCAGGAGTCACGGAGCAGCCCGGGCCCCAGAGCCCCCCTCCCTCCCCTCCAGGCCCGGAGGAGCCCCTGGACGGAGTCGATGCAGACGTCCCTCGCCCAGATCTGGCGCCCGTTGCCTTCTTCTGCCTGCGACAGACCACCAGCCCCCGGAACTGGTGCATCAAGCTGGTGTGCAACCCATATCCTTTGTACGGCCTGGGTTCGTCTGGGTCCTGCCCGGGGCCCCGCTGTTCCCTCTGGTCAGGAGGCCTGAGGCTGCAGGGCTCTGGTGGTGGTGAGCCAACTCTCGTGCTGGGTCAGGGGACACCTCGCTCAGGCCGTGGAGCTCGGATGGGTGAGGACCTGGCGTCCTGCTGATGTGAATGTTCTGGAAGTTGCTGATGACCGTGGGGGTCAGTGCAGTGTCTCGCTGGCTCAGGAAGCCCTCAGGTGTGAACCTCAGGTCTGCGCCGGGACTGAGGAGGCAGAGTTTAGTCAGACCCTGGCCCGTGACCTGAGCCATTTGGTGGGTGGCGACTACAGGGGCTATGAGAGCCTGATGGGGAGCCCAGGGGCCTGGACCGGAGACAGTTGACCCCAGCACACAGGGCGAGGCTCCACCCACCTTGCCTCCTACAGTTCTTCCTGCATCCACCTGCTGCCTCTCGTCTGCTCGGGTCACTCCTGCTCAAGACCCTTTCCTGTTTCCATTGCCCTGCAGGAGCAGAGCAAAGTCCTAACCAGCCCCCTAAGCATGGCCTCGCTTACCTCACTCTGCTTCCCGAGCTCTTCCAGGCCTCAGGGCCTTCTCACATGCTCTTCCTCTCGAAATGCTTTCCTTTCCTCTTCACCTGGCTAGGTCCTTTGTTGCATCCTTCAAATCACAGTTAAGTGCCACCTCCTCAGGGCAGCCCTCTGTGATTCCCCTTAGCCCCTCTGTTTTATTAGCCCTTCCGTTTTAGCCAGTATGTGATTCTGAATCTAACACTTGCCTCCTCCAGGGTGCTATCAGGTGACCAGGACACAGACCGAGCCTGTCGTGTTCATTGCGGGACCCCAGCACCCAGCACAGTGCCTGGCGCACCACGGGTGCTCCTGTAGCGTTCGCTGGGGGCGTGTTGGCAGTGTCCTCACTGGGTCTCCGGTAGTGAATGGAGCGGAGGCTTAATCATGGGGCACTCAGGCTGGGCTTTCGGGTCTTGGGGTTGTGGGGGGGGGAGGGGGATGTCATTGATCAGGTGCTGAGGGTTCCAGGATTCTTCCTTGGCCAGAAACCTCCCTCCCGCCCCTCGTCCTTGGGAGGGAGCTCAGGGAGGGGGCAGTAGTGATCCTCAATGCGAGCACGGTTGGCACTTTGGGTGTGACAGTGTTCTGTGGTCTGAGCTGTCTTGCACAGTACAGGACACTTGGTGTTCTGTCCTGGTCCCTAAATATTGGTAGGTAGTGGCCCTCAATCATTGTGACAACCAAAAATGACCCTTCGCATTTCCAGACGTTGCAGGATTCTGCTCCCCATCAAGAACCCGAAGGAGCATGGGTGGACGTGTAGGCATCGGGGTCAGGTCAGTGGGAATGGCTACCAGGACCAGCAGGCCTGGGAGGGGGCAGGGCAGTGTGGGAGGTCTGCCCCAGACAGACTGTCCTGAGCGCAAGTGTCCCTGGAGCTGAGGGGCCCTGGCTCAGAGGTAGGCCCTGAGTCACCACCTGACTCCCTGGAGAGCCAGGAGGCTGCTGGGACCCTCCACCACCTGGTGAGCTGGGGTGGGAAAGGTCCGCTCACCCAAATGTCTGCACCACTCCCTGCCTGCCCGGCCTGGCCCCTGAGCATTGCACTGTCAGCAGGGTTTCAGCAGGGAGGAAACTGGGTCTGAAATGTCAAGGGGTCCATGGTGCTCTTTGTTTTTTTTTCCCGTGGTGCTGACTCATGGGTAGGTGGCGTGTGGAAAGCATTGGGCACCAGGGTGAGACAGACCCATGGGCTGGTTCTGCCTGTTGTTTGCTGTGTGACCATAAGCCAGTTTCTTAGCCTCACTGATCCCCAGTTTCTCCACCTGTCAAACGGCGGTGGTATTTACCCATTTCACAGGATTGCACTGCAGACCAAAGCAGTACGTAATGCGAAAATGGATCTTTGTAAACTCGAAAAACTGCCACACGTGTGGTTATCACTCTTATTACCTGTGCGCAAAAGGTGAACAGAGCCCTCACATACAGCTGAGTAAACACTGCTCGTGGTAGATTCAATAAGACATTGGGCATCAAGTCTTTAGGTAGAACATGATGCCTTCAGAGGACGTTGTTCCAGGGAAAATCAGATTCTATCTCTGTGATTTAGGAACATTTGTGCCAGTTACACTGCTAGTACCCATGCCCTCATCCGTGCAGACATTGCTAATCGATAACAGCATCCTCCAGCAGGGCACCCGTGGCAGCATGACGAATCAGTTGGAAACCTATTTTCCACCCTAGATTAGACTTTGAGAGCCTTTCTTAGGCGTGTAACTGGCTGCATGTGGGAGAAGGGCCAGTGGTGGGCTGTACTCACTCTAGTTTCCCTTCCCCGAGCTTTAGTTTTCTCATCTCTAGAATGGGACGATTAAAGATGATTAGAGATGATTCCTGCAAAGCACCCAGCCATGTGTCCAGCACAGAGGAGGGCTCAGGGACGATAATAACAAGAGCTGGCGCTCACTGTGCTGAACGCTTTGCCTGAAGTATCACCTTTTAACCCTTATAACCACCTCAAGAGGTAGGTGCTGTCAGAGGCTCAGAGAGGCTGAGTAACTTTATTTATTTATTTATTTATTTAGGGCTGTGTAGGGTCTTCGTTTCTGTGCGAGGGCTTTCTCTAGTTGTGGCAAGCGGGGGCCACTCTTCATCGCGGTACGCGGGCCTCTCACTATCGCGGCCTCTCTTGTTGCGGAGCACAGGCTCCAGACACGCAGGCTCAGTAGTTATGGCTCACAGGGCTAGCTGCTCCACGGCACGTGGGATCCTCCCAGACCAGGGTTCGAACCCGTGTCCCCTGCATTAGCAGGCAGATTCTCAACTACTGCACCACCAGGGAAGCCCGAGGCTGAGTAACTTTTATCCAGGTTGTGCAGCCAGGATGTGGTAAAGCTGGCGTGAAATCCTCAATTTCTCTGAATTCTCAGGCTCAGCTTTTATCCAGGACATGGCTGCCCCCTGCGGAGCCTGGAGACGGGGTTCTCCCCACTCCACCGGAGCAGGGACGTTTGCTTTGCAGTCCCAGGTGGCTGGGCAAGGGTCTTCCTGGGTTCCAGTGTCTACCTTCGGGAGCCACCTCACTGTGCCCTGCCAGGGGCTGCCCCCTGGAGGAGTTCGCAGCCCCCTGCCTTCCGGCATGCTCCTGGCTGCTGTCTCCCCCGTGCCAGCCAGCGCTGAGTCAGCGCTTCTGCTGAGGCGCGAACCAGCCATGCACGGTGGAAGCCGGTGGGCTCTGAAGGCTGCCTCTCTGCTGGGCATGGGGAGGGCGCCAGCCTGGGCTGGGAGCAAGGAGCCGCCAGCTGCCAGTGACTTTGGATAAGTCACTTCCCCTCTCTTGCCCTCAGTCTCCCTGTCTGCAGGTTGGGGATACTTGGGCAGTGAAGTCAGGAGAGGCTGCCTGGGGTGCCCATTTCCCTGCCGCCTTTGTCAGGAAGCATCGCAGTGGTGTCTGTGGGGGCGGGGCTCCGTGTTCCTTGTGGGTGGGCTCCATCGCTCTGTGCTTTCACGGCTGTGGTCCTGATTCTCATCTGCCGCTCTGTCCCACTTCTGTTTGCTTCTGGTCCCCTGCCGGGGGACCCTCTGCTGCTAGGATGGGGTCTGTGGGTGCTCATGCTTTGAAGTCCACCTGGCTGAGACCCCCGCCTTGCAGACCCTCTGACCTGGGTCATTACTGGGCAGGAAGAGGGCAGGGCCCAGGGTCTCATCATAGCCCTGCGGTGCCAAGCCTTGTGCTGTTCATTGTGAGGGTTCAGTGTGTTGGTTCTGGGGGTGAAAGGGATCTTGTTCATCCAGGCTTCACTCACGCATTCATGAACTCGGTCAACAAGCCTTTACTGAGTGTGTGCCGTGTACCAGGCACGTGCAGAGGACAGCTGTGGCCATTTGGGGCAGGAGAGGGTCACTCTGGCTCCCTTGGAGAGACGTCAGCCAGGAGACCATCATTGGAGGGGACCTGTGGGATGGTGACAAGGGATGATGGTGGCCCAGGGTGCTGGTGGGGCCTGGAGAGCGGGGTCCGAGTGGAGGTGTGGCTGCTTTGGGGTTGGTGTTGGAAGGAGAGGACTTTGAGGTGACCGCCGGGACTGTGGCTTGGTTCAGTGTGAATGATGACCTGCTCCTGGCTCCTTGGCCGAGAGGCCTTTGTCTTTGCTGACCCTCTGTTTGCTCATCTGTGAAATGGGAGCCTCTGTGACACCCCCCCGCCCCCCCCACCAGTTGGGAATGTCAGGGGGTCCACTGAGAACTCCAGGGCAAGCATTGACCGACCGGGCAAACTGTTAAGTGCAGAGTGACAGCTCTGTGCACACTGGAGCTGATGATGGAGCATTCACAGTTAGGGTGGTTTGGGTGCCCTGGCTCAGGACAAGCATCCTGAAGGCTGGCGGGGACCTGGGCCCTGCGTCTTTGACGATGGTCTGAGAAGTTTGTGGGCTGGGCCGCCAGGGAGAGCGGTGTTGGCGGGGGTGGGAATGTGTGGGTTCCTGCAGGGTTGAGGTGGGGAGAGGGCATGATGGCTGGGGAGTGAGAGGGGGGAAAACCTGCAAAGCCCTAACCATGGGGAGAGAAACGGGCCAGTCACCAGCAGGAAGTCCCCTCTCTCATCGCCCTGCTCCCGTGCCCTGGTCATTTAGTCCATCCCTCTGCCTCTGGCGGGCTGCCTCTCAGTCCTGCTGCACCAGACGGGGCCTTGGGCCTCCTGATAAGGACCTTTAGGGCCTCTGAGGGCTCTTGACTATCAGGAAGTCCTCCTTAATCTAACCACCACCCCTCCTGTCCTGAGCCCTTTCCTGGTGTCTGGGCCCTTGGGAAGTCTGGCCTTGCGTTCCTCCACCTCTTCCTGTCTAAGCAGGCGGCTCCGGGGATCTCACCCCTCCTGCCCCACTGACAGCTGGCGTCACCCTCCCTTTTCTTCCCTGCACAGTGGAAAGAGCACCCATCCGGGAGCCTAAAGCTCGGCAACCTCGGATGAGAG